CGGCATGTTCTTCCAGGCACTTGAAAGGAACATGGGGCCAGCTGTGATGTGATACAGAAGCCCCCCTGGCTAAGTTGGTTCACGCACCACGGCTGATTGTGTTGTTTCATGGGGGCACCCGACAGCAGCCTGCTCAGCAGGCAAATTTCTATCCTGTGATCAGGGCATACCAGGACTACCTTACAAATGTGGCGAAACTGGGAACTTTTGGAGATGAGCTTTGCATCTCAGCCTTTTGCTCCGAGTTTCGATGTGCTGTATCAGTGTGCTCCCCTGACTTTGATTTTGCTCCGAGTTTCGACTTGCTGTTGCCCACGCCTGGCAAGACCAGTTTCACAGCAACGACCTCGTTAATTTGCAGCTACTCAAGCAGCAGCTCGCCCCATTGTTGGAAACATTTCCTTGTACACCCTCTGATGTCACCGGGCATGACTTGAAAAGAACAAATTCCTCCACCAAATCATCGCGAGCAGTGGCGACGGACGGCTGGCGCATTGACGAACTGAAATTTTTGACCTCTAGAATGGTACGACCAACTGGCCCGCTGTATTAGACTTGGCTCCGCGTCATGCCCCTGATGGTCCCAGGGCACACCGTCTTGCTAAGGCCCAAGAGAGAGAGCACGTGCAGCTTACGGAGCAGTTCCTGGCCAAAACGGTCTTTACAATTGCCCACATTGTGGAGTTGAGATGCTGCTGCGATGATAAAAAGACACATCTTGCCATGCCAAAATTCGCCGCCTGAGCAACGTCGACTTTTGCAGGCCCGACGAGATCAACGGGCTGCCAAAAAGGCCTCTTCGCAAAATTTGCCTGGAACACAGAACCCACCAATGCGACCGAACATTTGCGTGCTCTTGGTGTGTCTACAGATGGTTTGGATTTCTCGGGTTCTTGCCCTTTTTCGCTGGCCACTCTTCGTGAACACAATTTGAACATTGCTGGGAATGTCAAGCCTGTGGATTTGGCTGTCATCAATCGCGTGGTGCCACAACATGAAGTCAATCACGAGCTTGGTGATCTTCCTACTTGGCCTGAGTTTTTGGAATCGCTCTTTGCTGTGCGTGATTCTTCTCCGGGAAAGGATGGTGTGACTGCTATGTTGAAGGCAGGTGGCAGCTTGTTGCATCAGGAACTGTATCGCACCATTTGTGCTATGTGGACTTTACCAGCCTCCCAGTGGGATTCCCTCTTAACGACTGGCTTGGGTGTTCCGTTGCACAAGGGGGGTGACCGTAGCGTCTTGGACAACTATCGCACGGTGGTTTTGCTTCCTATGCTTTCCAGAATTCTCGGTCGCCTTGTTGCACGTCGGGTCACGGTCTATGCTGAGCAGCTCAATTTGTATTCTCCCACTCAATATGGCAACCGTCGCCATCGCAGTGTGCAGGATGCGTTGTTCATTGCTCGAACTACTATTGAGCTTGCAGCCGAAGTAGCGCACAATCCGGCTCTACAGACTGCTTTTCCTGAGGCTCTGGTGGTCTTGTTGTTTGATATTCGGAAAGCTTTTCCCAGTGTGAACAGGCCTGCTGCCCTTCATTTGTATCGTCGCTTGGGATTTCCTGATACTCTTCTTTCGGTGATTGACCAACTTCACTCTGGAACCAAGTATCAGATGACTACTTCGGAGGGACTTTCTGACTTTTACTCTTTGGCAGGAGGTTTACGTGAAGGTTGTTCTACGAGTCCTTGTCTCTATACCTTGTTTCATGATCATGCGATGATGGATTTTGCTTGCAGGGCCCAAGCTCTTCGTGACCTTCACCCGGAGCAGTTTGTTGAATTGCATTCTTGGTGTGGTCGTCCTTTGAATCGACGTATGAATCGGCATCTTCTCCCCGGTCCGGCAAAGCTTGCCAAATCCCCATGGTCATGTGATGTGGTGCAGTTGTTAGAACTTACATTTGCAGATGATACTATGGTTTTCTGTCGAGAGGCGGTGAGAACACAGTTGGAAAACTTACTTCAGGATACTCTGTCAGATTGGGGTGAAACGCTGAAGGGATCCAAGACGCAGCGCTTGGGAATACACTCTGGCGATACTCCTGAAGGTTTCACTTCTTCCGCACGGCTTCTTGGTGGAATCTTGGAAGTCTCTGGACACTACAAATTAGACGATGAAAGGCGCCTCACCTCTGCAAAGAAACTGTGGTCTCGCTTGTGCAAACAATTACCCCGGTTTGGATTACCTGATCGACTTCTTGGCCAACTGATCCAAACATGCATTGTGCGAGCTTTGTTGTATGGCTGCGAATCGCGAGCCGTCTCTGGTCAATCTCTCCGTCGCTTTCAGAACTTCATCAACGGGATTGTTCGCTTTGTGTGCAAACAACGTTTGAAAGACATGCACTCTGAGCAGGTCACACAGCAAGACTTGAATTTGAAGTTGGGTCTTTATCGCATCTCCACCTATGTTGGCATGGGACAGCTGTCTTACCTGGGGCATCTTGCCAGGTTGCCTGACAATCGTATTGAGAAGCAATTGTTGTTTGCTTGGCTTCCTCCTGAGGCTCAGCGTGCATCATTCAAAGGTGCTACTTGTTCCAGACATGTCTTTTGGAAACGATTGACGGAACTTTTGTCGCACTCTGATCTGGATTGTGCTGATTGGCAACATGGTTGGATGGCGGTGTGGTTTGGAAGGCACTTATTCGCAAGTGGGTGACTTCAGCTGAACGTGTTGCACAACAGGACACTTGGCAGGCGAGGCATGCTGATGCAGCGCGTGCTGCGCGAATACAGGCTGCGTCGGATCGTGCATACAATGAGTTGGGTGTTTACCGTCAACCAGATGGACGTTATGCTTGTGGTCTTCCAGGTTGTGGTGTTGTCCAGACGTTGCAGGGTCTTCGTGTCCATGTCCCTACTTGTCGGAATTTGTCGAAAGAGCAAAGAGAAGAGCGTGCTCGCCAGGCCCAAGCCTCTTCGAGTTCTTCTGGTCGAAATTCTGCTCATGCTCCACAGGTGGCTCCTACGCGTCGTCCTCCTGTTGCTTCTTCTTCCCCTCGGAGACGCTTGCGTGCTAAGCAGCCTGCTCCAGCTGCTTTTGTGAGAACATCTGCGCAGTGTGACAATGCAGATTTTGCAGCTTGCGCCTCCTTTGACATTGGTGCTACCCTGAAACACTACGCTTCGTTGCATTTGACTAGGCGGTATCGAGGCACACACTTGCATCGACCTATTACTCTTACAGATCTTCCACCTCCACAGATTGCTGATGGTGCTTGTAAGAAGACGTGCAGATTTTGTCGACGCAAATTTCCCTCCGTGAGTCTTCAAAGCAAACACAGTCGAGGTTGCCCATCCATGCCTTTTACAGGTTGGTTATATCGTGTTCGAGTTACCTTGTTGAAGACTGCAAACTGTACACATCCTTGCCCTCATTGCGGTACACTGTTTCCTTTGCCCAAATCGGCTGGCAGACATTCGGTGGAGTGTCAAAAGCGCATGCTTGCTGCGAAGCTCCCAAGTGGTTTGAAGCAGTTCTTTGATTTGCCCAGCGAACCAGTTGGGTGAATGTCCTTGTTCTTGGTTACCTTGACATATCCGTTGTGGCTTTTCCCGTGACCACCTTTTTGCAAATTAGTTTTCCCAGGTTTTGGCATCTTGCTCTTCGCACCATGGCGTCGGCAGCTGATGTGATGGCTAGAGCTGCTGCTTTGGCAGGTGGTCAGTCCCCTGCACCCAAGCGTCAGCGACAGGGTGCTCAGCAGTCTGAAGTTGATACTGAGATGGCTGCTGTTTTGGAGCGGTGTCTTCGTTTGAGTCTGCAGACGGCCGAAAAAGCAGAGTCGTCAGCTTGCGCCAACAACTTGGTCTTTTTGGTGAAACAAGAAGCAGAACAAAAAGCCCTCGCTGAGAACATCGCCCTTTGGGTCAGCGCCCTGCCTGAGAGAAGGGTTGGTCAAGAACCCAAGGCTCATGAGCTTGGTGAGAAGCGTGTCTTCTTGTTCGTGTGCATGCTGCAGCAACTCAAAAGTGACACTGACCTCTCTGATGGTACCTTTCCGCAGCCTTTGGATGCTCTCCTTGGCACAGACATGGAATCTCTGTCTCGTTGGATTTCGTCCTTCGAACCTCGATATGCTGAGGCCAAAGCTGGACGAGTTTGGGTGTGGGAGCTTGCTGTCAGCACATTGGCTCCTGAGAAGTTCAAGCACCACCTGGACACCTTGAGCTCCCTGGTGAATACAGATCGATGGCGTGTTGCTCCGCACGGTTGGGGGCAGACTGGCCTGAACAAGGCTGTGTGGGATGATGTGAAGCGCATGGCTGCTTCCAGACGTGCTTGAAGCTTTGGTGGTTGGTGCATGCTTCTCCTGAGGAGTTGAATTCGTTTGTGACCGTGCCTGTTTGCGGTGCTGCCCTTTTTGCTTCTTGAAGGTCTATGACATCATTCATCAGTCAAAGCTGTTCTTGATTTCGAGTGGACCTGCACTTTTTGCTATCATCTTCATTTTGTTGACCTCGTGCATTTCGTCGGCTCGACGGACTGTCATCGTGCATCCTACGCTCTTCTTTTTCAAACTGCATCTGGTGCCTCGAGGTTTTCTTTTTTCTACTTGATTACCTGTGGCGAAGCAACCCAAGTTGATGACAGGATCAGCTTGGGAACGTGGACTCAGGAACCTCCATGAGTCCTACGCTCCTGTTGGGGGCTCTTTCATAATGAGATCAGGCTTCAGGTGATGGCTCTACAGAGCCTGCTTCCTCACCTTCTACGGCATGTTCTTCCAGGCACTTGAAAGGAACATGGGGCCAGCTGTGA